CCAAAACCAGTCAGCCCAGGGGGAGGAGCTGCCCAGGCAGCCATCTAGAGATGGGCTTAAGGGAAGCCACTGGCCACTGATGGCTGGGACTGGGGTTGTTTACTCTGGTCTCTTCTATGGGGAGTTCTGGGGTGCCCTTGGCTGGGGCCACACTGGGTCCAGAGGTCCTCTATCCTCTCAGTCAAAAAAGAAGCTTCGGGGTGCTGTGGGTGGGATGACATGCCTGGTAATTTCTGGAGATGGCCAAGGAAACCCATGGTGGGCCACCCCTGCCTGCCCTTTTTTTGGAGAGGGCTGTGGAGCCTGGGCACCATCATGGGAATGAGCAAAGGGCCAGCCAGGAGTTCCTTTCTCATCCAGCTTCAGTCACATCTTCTATGCTCTTGAGATTTCTCCAGCACTCATTCCCAGCTGCCTTCTGTTTTCAGAAACAGATTCCACTCAATGGCAGTATGGCTTTACAAATGCCAACTATAACCTTAACCCTTCCCCTCCAATCCCACGGCTTCTGTTCTTTCCAATGTGGAAAAAAAAAAAAAGAGGAAGGAGAAATTTAAAAAGACAAGGAGAATAAAAAGAAACCAGCCACCTGGTCTCAGGCTGACCACTTATGACCTAGGACCAGCAGGCTGGAGACACTGTGGGAATCCCCTTCATGCAACCAGCCTTTGACTTTTTTTTGGACCTCTCCAGGTTTCATGGCTCATGCTCATGCAGAAAAAAAGAAGACAATGGATGCATAATCATGGCCACTGGGAAACCAGAGGAAGACTGGGATCATAGGGCTGCCGCCCCAGGACAAGGTGCTGGTTACCCAGCTGTCTTACACAAGGTTTTGCTGCAGGACTGTTGGTTCTCCTAAAGCCTGGAGCTCCAGGTAGAGTTTACCACCTTGAGTTGACACGTAGACGTCACCAGAATGGGCAGATGGCTCAACAGGCAGTCACAGGGCTTGAAACAGGAATCTCCCTCAGAGGTGATACTCAGCACCTCACTCAAGTCTGACTCTGTGCAGGCTGTCCTGGCTTTCACACAGGGAGTGGGGGGTAAGAGGAGGGTGGCTTAGGGGAGGTGGGGAAGGCCACCACACAACACTGATTCCATGGCATCACAGAGGGCCAAGGTTCCCAAGGGGACTCTCTCTGCCTCTACCCCAAAGTGTTGTCCCTTTTTAAGCAGGATGACCCAGGAGGCTCCAGTTTCACACCAGCTGCTGGGGCCTATCTGATAACGAACTTCTCACATGAATTCTCAGGAGAAGGCCCTAGTTGCCAAATCAACAGCATAATAATCCAATCCCGGAGCCAGTAATCCTAGCCCATGTCCCATTGCCTGTGGCCAACTGAGAGCCCCTATGGGAGAGTTCATGGGCAGTCTCATGCCTGTGGCGATGTGTGTGCATGTGCATGTGTGTGGGAGAATGATTGGGTCTGCATCCCTGGACCTGTGTGAGGGTTTCTGTGTGTGTGTGTGTGTGTGTGTGTGTATGCTACGGTACATGTTTGTGTCTGTATATGTATCTCCTTGTGCATGTGTGTTTGTGATTGTTTGTGATTGTGGGGTGAACAAAGATGAGCAAGAGAAAACTAGGAGACTGAAGTTCCCTGTGAGTGCATGCGAGCGTGTCTGTGTCAGTCTTCTCTGGGTGTCTGCCTGTGTGAGAGTGGGCAAATGGACACATTGCAGAGAGAGCCTGATGGCACACACTGAAATCTGAATCGTTGTTTTCACATGGCTGGGTTGAAAGGAAAGGCAAAGAGGGACAGCTTGCTGAGGCTCCTACTGGCTCAGAGTTACACATTTAGAACAACCACAAAGAACAGGGAAGACCTGTGAGCCATGAAGAACAGGGTAAGGGGTGGGTTCATGATGACATTTCCTTAAAAGTAACACATGGGGGCCTTGGTGGAGCACCAGAGGGGTTGAACTGGTGACCTTCATCTCTGCTTATTTAAGAACAAAAGTGAGACCTTTCTCACTTGCGTTCTGCAAAGGGGCATTCCACATCACAAGGAGCAGAGGAAGAAGCAGTCTCAGTGTAATGCTTGACCCGCCAAGAGCTGAAAGTGAAAAGAAAAAGAGAAGAAGAAAGAGGAGTAAAAGGAGAAAGAGAAGGAAGGACAAGGAGAAAGAGGAGAAGAAGAAAGAGGAGGAGGAGGAGGAAGAGAAAGAAGGACCAGAAAGAGAATAAGAACAAAAAGTGGCAGCTTCATGCCACAGCAGCTGTTCTGAAGGACCTAGTTCAGGGATGCTTCACTGCATGGTGACATACACAGCAAGGAGAAACCAATAATGTCCCAGTGAAGGGACACAATGCCAAGAAGCTTCTCGTTGATGGAATCTCTTCTGAGTGGGATCAAGGACTTTGATCTACAAATAGACTTAAAGAAGCTACAGAGGACAGAGGTGCAGGCTGAACCATGCCCTCCAGATGTCATCAGCACACTGCAGGGGGCCATGAGCTTCTAGTCTACAAGGCCTAGGTAGGGAAGTATCCTGGAAATGGGTGAGAGGAGAGATGAAAAACTGGGAGGAAATGAACACCAGAGAAAAGACGTAATGAGCCACCTATGGCCATACTGAGAGAAGGCAGATAGAGGAGGGGGATGCTGCTTACTCCCCCAAGGGTCAGCCGGGGTCCTTCTGGCTTCCTTAGGAAAAGTAGGCTTTTTCTCCCTAAGGGCATTCTGTGCCCAAGACTCTGCTTTTGCAGGCTGATTCTGATCTCCCCAAACCATAAGTGAACAAAAAGTAAAGACAGTGAACAAGAAAAAAGTGAAGGAAGAAAAACTCCAAAAGTACACAAAGAATCAGAGTGAACAATGAGGATAAGAGCAAACTGAAATGCAGGATGTTACGTGTGCAAAGATGGCTGCCTAAATGGCCTCCTGTGCCCTTATACAAGAAGAGCCACGTGCCAGGAAAAAGCATCAGACTCTTAGGCCAGGATTTATACCGGGTCCGCACAAAGGCCTGAGGAGCCAAGAGGCTTCCCTGCTCCCCACTGCCCCCACCCCATACCATCACACATGCTCCGACAGTAAATATTGAGAAGCCAGGCAGAAAGGGAAAACAAAGATGAACAAGAGAAAACTGGGAGGCTGAAGAACTCTGCCCATTAAGAGTTACCTAGACATGGAGATCTAAGTGTGAGGTGAGGTGCCTGGGCAGACAACTTTTAGTGAGTATTGATGAGGATACATGTATATGCCTGAGGACATATAGAAGCACAGATAGATACAGGGAAAAAAGTAAGATGAAATGGGACTTAAATGTTAAAAACGAGGACGTCTCACACTCAGAGTCACATTGCCACCCCTAAAGACACAGTCCAGATCTTCCTGAATTCTTTTCTTTCTGTATTTTCCCTAGGCAGGCATCGGTCTCCTTCGGAGAATGCCTGTGCAGATTCATAGAAGCATCTGCAGTGGCCCACATGCAGGCCTACAGAACCACACCTCCCTCCTGCTGTACCCCCTCACACTGCCCCCAGTGGGACATCCCCCTCTGAATCCACAGAAAAAGAGTAACATTTCTTGAGGATAGGCTTCTCTGGGTCACTGGGACCCCCTGCCCAGAGAAGAATCCAGAGAGAAGGAGGGAGGCAGAGATCCCTCCTACTGTTACAG